GCACGATTTACACGAAATATAGTCCTATACTGCCACACCAAAATATGTAGCTCAGACAGAGTAACACAGGGGAATTTCCCGACATAGTATTTGTGCTCAACATAAAATCCTATCCCGACCTATCTACCCAGTTATTTCACTTCTATGACTCTACGGAAAATAAGATAGTTCCTAACAGTTTCCCGGAGTACATCACCGAAAATTTGAAGCTGGTGAGGCCACTGCGCAGCGGTGGCGAGTTTTCCCAAGGCTAAGTGACGGCGAAGATTAAAATCGGAAGTCTTCAGTCCACGGTCCCTGGTGTGCGTGTTATTTGGGGTGATGCGTCCTTTCTTCCTTGCTGTAGATACTGGTTTCCGAAATAAACTCTAACTCGAAAATAGTCTCTTCTATGCTGGACGTTCGTCGATGATTACAATTCTCTAAACGTGATGGGGGCTTCGACCGTCGACGAAATCACGGGGATGAAATCGGTTTCTTCGGTGCAGGACGTTCGCCGATGGCTACGACTAGAAAATAGTTTCTTCTGTGCTGATTCTCCGAAGGCGTACTAAATTCTTCTCTGATGTCCTACTCAATAAGACGAGACTTCACCGGAATACTGTCCTTTACTCTTCACTCTATCGATCACACTGGAGAGTCTCCAACACGAGACTTCCTCACAGAACGCACGAGACTTCCTTCCAGCACGCCGGCTGACCATCACTGAGCTGCCTCTTCTTCTACCTCCCGTCTTTTATAGCCCCGTTCGCTACCCGCGTACGTGATGCGTCCTATACCCGCTTTGTTTTGAATTTTAAACCGTCGGCTTCCATTGGTCTTCAACGGTTCTACATGTATTAACAATTTTGAGATACTATGAATTTCTATACTAATCATATCCTCCTTTGCCCCCTAAAAAAAACATCCGAACGTGATGATTTTTTTTTCAATCCAACCTCAACTACAGAAACGATCGCTTTTTCAACTCCTACTAACCTCATTCAATTTTCTAGGTGCATCTGTCCCTACCTACACAGCTTCCCCATTGCACACCGCATTATAATTGGAGATAGTATCCTATAATAACACCTACAATATAGTCATCGATAGGCCTCCAGTACACAAATTTTTCAACTAACCAAATCAACCCATGAAAAATTATTAACAAAACAAAAAAAAATGTAAGGCAAATTACTTATTCACATCCTACTACACATGTCACATAAATATGAAATATCAGAAAAATTTTCGCAATGAATGTTTATGTGCATCTTAAAAAAAAGATCAGCAAATATCTATTTGATAAAAATTGTCCGGGTGCGCATATAAAAAAAATCATAACGAGAATATAATTTTGACAAACTAGCAAAAAAAAAGAAAGAAAAGAAATCTCAACAAACGATAATTTTCTGAACGTGACACTATACCGGGCAAAAAAAAACGTTTAGATGAATCACTAGAAATCACTACACAAGTAAAAAAAAATTCTGCCCGCCTGACCACCTTAATCTCTAAATTCTTCTTAATAAGCTATGCATTATCTCTACAAATTATTTCGAATTAATCTTACACTTCGAACTTTTATGACTCACTGCACTTACTATACGGTCAATAATTTTTTTAGAGACATCACTAATGACATGATTTTATTGCCATCACTATTGCATGAGAAAGAAACAAGTTCTTCTCAAACAAATTCTGGCATAGTATCGAGAAAGGCTAAATTTCACACAGTGACTAAAATCAATTTTCGGCAAAACTAAAAATGTCAGCATTAAAAACGGAGTTTCTTCTATCAATCTTAACCTCTCAATGTACTTTGCCGCAAAACCTTCCAAAACCCCACAAGCCTGACGCAATGATTAAATCCCTTATTTAATCATGGCGTCAGGCTTGTGGGGTTTTGGAAGGTTTTGCGGCAAAGTACATTGAGAGGTTAAGATTGATAGAAGAAACTCCGTTTTTAATGCTGACATTTTTAGTTTTGCCGAAAATAGATTTTAGTCACTGTGTGAAATTTAGCCTTTCTCGATACTATGCCAGAATTTGTTTGAGAAGAACTTGTTTCTTTCTCATGCAATAGTGATGGCAATAAAATCATGTCATTAGTGATGTCTCTAAAAAAATTATTGACCGTATAGTAAGTGCAGTGAGTCATAAAAGTTCGAAGTGTAAGATTAATTCGAAATAATTTGTAGAGATAATGCATAGCTTATTAAGAAGAATTTAGAGATTAAGGTGGTCAGGCGGGCAGAATTTTTTTTTACTTGTGTAGTGATTTCTAGTGATTCATCTAAACGTTTTTTTTTGCGCGGTAAAGTGTCACGTTCAGAAAATTATCGTTTGTTGAGATTTCTTTTCTTTCTTTTTTTTTTTTGCTAGTTTGTCAAAATTATATTCTCGTTATGATTTTTTTTATATGCGCACCCGGACAATTTTTATCAAATAGATATTTGCTGACCTTTTTTTTTGGTGAGAAGAATTTTTTTTTGCGGACCGATTGTAGACACAAATTTTTAATAAGCGTTTATAACTCAATGTCACAGGATTGAAACTTTTCAGGAAGTAAATCTTAGTAGGAAATTTTTATGCCCAGTATTTTGACTTATAGTTAAGTGTAGAAGTTGTCGCGTTCATTTTAACTTAGAATTACGCTAGACTACCGAGCGATTGGACGATGTACGAATGTGATTGAGTCCATTTTTTTACAAGAATTTAATTGCGTACGAATTTGGTTGATATAACTATAGTACCGGTAATGAGTTTAATGAGCGAGAACGAGTTCGGATAATTGTAGCGTGAGATTTAACTATTATAGGATGTGTGAGTAGTGTGACGTACGAAGATTTCAAATAGGGTGCTGCCCCTTCGAAGGCAAGATTATTACGAGCGAGTCATAAAAACTTATGTGGATTTGCGAGATGTAGAAATGATGGATTCGATTGAGATATTAGAAACCGAGATGATTTACTTTTCCGAGAATTATGATGAATTACGAGAAGTTTGTTGAATAGTTCTGCGAGAACTCAATGATAAGGAAATGTTTAGGGAAAGCATTCAGGCATGCCAGGAAGGGAACTCGTATTGCATGGATAGCAGAGATTTTTGAAATGACGAGACGCCGTTGAAAAGGCGGAGATTTGATACGATAATGCGCGATTGATAGGCGCGACGATTTTGATCGAGTGATGGCTGTAGAAAATGCATACTGATCAAGCTGAGGAAATGTTGTAGGTAGGGATAGGGTTTTTATTTTTCTTTTTGTTTAGTTTAAGTGAACATGTTGCATTGTTTTTTGTTGCATTGAGATTTAATTTCTTTTGATAGTATTTTTGAATACTATGCGTCTCTATACATAATTTAAATCACTTTTACTGTTAAGTTTGTGTACTTACATACATTAAAATACGATTTTTCAAGTGTACGAATATTTATTTCCCCCCACTGTATATTGTTGACTGGAAAACTAAATCAGTAGATTTTTGCGTACATACAGGCCGTCCTCGCAGGAGGCTCTGTTCACAATCCATACTGTTCGTAAGGATAGTCGATTACGACTAAGTGACAGCTTATTTTAATGGTCTTTTCGTGTGTGAAATATTTCTTAGGTGATAAACTGTCCGTCGATTCTTAATTATTTTCAAAGTAAAATAAAACATGATTATTAGATAAGTACTTTAATGACAACACGATCCGTACATAACGAAGCCTAGATGGAGCCTAGATAAGTTAATCTTTTAGGATTAACTTATATCTTTATAAGTTAATCCAAGTTAGTACAATGATTCTAAAATACGCAAATCTGAAGTACCGGAGGTGGAAGCTATTCAAGCTAACACTTAAAGTCACTGTCAGAAACAGGGACATCACACTGCTCGGAGAACTTAGATCCTGTTTCGAAATTCTAATTATATAAATGTTAAAGACAACATGAAAACTGTGCTTCTACTTTGAAGTTGAACACAGTAACTATAATTTAATGGAGACCCTGTGCCTGCAATTAATCAGGATATCCACGGAGAATGGCTCAATCATGCATGAACAGGACATGATTCTTAGTTGTACCGAACTATGAAAAAACTAGTGTCTTGTGCCTAATTTGTTGATCGCAGAATGAACGGCCCGATCGTTGGCTCAAGCTCTTTGCCAAATTAATTGCGTTCAAATGACACCTTGTAAGCGAAATGCCAAGGTTATTATGTACGGCCAAAACCATTTATGTGCAATTATATATGCAAGAAAATAGCACAAAGAAATTTATTTACCAGATAGGATCATTTTGAAAGAAACAAAATCTTGGATACGATAAATGATCGCTTTTGATCGTTTCCTGAACGTTTATGCATGGGTGCTTTGGCATAAAAACGTTACTCTCTATCTACCGAATATTTAATTTTAATTCTCAGCGTTGTTGATTTGTTCTAAACTTGGTCTTTTATCAACAATGTTTTTCGGTCGAGCTTTTCATAATTCGAAAATTTCGTCATCTTGGGTGATTCATGATTGCATGGCCAATACTTTAAATTTTCGTACGAAGATGATTCTTTCCATGTAAATAGAACGATGCACTTGCGTTTACTGAACGTGGGTTCGCTGCGGCTGGTGCGGGCGTCCGCTGCAGCTGATAGTGTGCGTCGCATTGCACAACAAATCGGCTACGACCAGTTCATTGTGAGCTGTGGTGTGACTAGTTGCTCACTGACGCCATCCAGTGCAAAGTATTGGGAAAAGGCTACCTATCATACCTAGTCACTGAATACCTATGAGTTTTGCTATTTGCAGATGCGTAGTAGAAGGTTGAAACATTGCAATATGGTCAATGCAGAAACTTTTCAGTTCGGGCGAGCAGTTAGTCACTCCGACTCCAAGGTCACGGGGAATTTTCAAGACCATGCAACTATTTTTGTTCCGCCCTGTGATGGAATTTGTTCTTGAATCCTTAATGTCCACTACACTTTGATTAATAATTAGTAATGACTTGAATGAACTACATAATAACATTCAAAATATTTTAATGATACCGCCGACTCAGTTAAATTTTTTTTAAATATAAAAGACTGATTCATAAAAGAGTCCATGAAGAAAAGCATTTAGCGATTTAAAAATTCTTGTAATATGAGATTTGTGCGTTGATTAAATTTCTTTCAGTCTTATGATCATGGTCAACAAACGTTACTTCGAACCTAAATTCCCGTTAATTAAAACGTTGTTCTGCGAACGCTCAATTTCAACTTCACTTCGAGCCCTAAAATCTTAGCTTTGTGCTAAACAATCCACCGCTTATCATTTTTCTAGTTATATGTGTTTGCACTCGTGACTAATGATCGTTTATTACCCATATTTGATTTATTTTCATGTTAAACTGACGTGAACAGCAGAGTGCCCTACGGCGAATCAGGTCGTGCCGCCATGACAGCTTGGCGCGTCTTCTGTGTGGTACTCGGCCTGGTGGTGGGCAGTGGCAACGTTGGAGCGACAGGTGGGTGCTGGGGCTGTTGATGAGCAGTGGCAGGTGGGCGCTGGGGCTGTTGATGAGCAGTGGCACCGCTTGGTGGCAGGTGGGTGCTGGGGCTGTTGATGAGCAGTGGCACCGCTTGGTGGCAGGTGGGTGCTTGAGCAGTGGCACCACTTGGTGGCAGGTGGGTGCTGGGGCTGTTGATGAGCAGTGGCGCCGCTTGGTGGCAGGAGGGTGCTGGGGCTGTTGATGAGAAGTAGCACCACTTGGTGGCAGGTGGGTGTTGAGGCTGTTGATGAGCAGTGGCACCGCTTAGTGGCAGGTGGGTGCTGGAGCTGTTGATGAGCAGTAGCACCACTTGGTGGCAGGTGGGTGCTGGGGCTGTTGATAAGCAGTGGCACCGCTTGGTGGCAGGTGGGTGCTGCTGCAGGTGTTGTGACGCTGAGTGTGCACCAGGTGTTGTGATATGAAGTGTGCTATATAACTGAGAATATTACGATAAGTGCAGAGTAGAGTGACAATATCACAATATGCATAATCTTTGTCAATATCTAAATAATAATCTTTACATTTTATATAGACAATAGGATATTGTTTGGATACTAAAGGGTCCGCCATATTTATGGCAGCGGATGTTTGCTATAAAAAATAAATTGGTTTCTAGGAGACTTTTCTTTTGTAATGAAGCTTAATATAATATATTAATTCATCTATTTTATATTGCAGAAGTCTAAGGTGTCCAAATTTACTATTACTTATGTAGTATAGTAGTATAGTATCTTCGGCATTAAAGAATAGGCCTGGATAGGCCTGTCGCCGATTCTTGTACTTTTCTTGACTAGACTGGCCTTACGGTGACAACGTGTCGGTATTAATGGGTCCGTATCAGACCGGGCTTCAGTGCGCAGCGGCGTGCCACAAGGAAGCGTTCTCGGGCCTATTTTATTTGTTGCGTTTATAAACGATCTGCCAGAAGCTGTGTCTAGCGTTTGCTCGATGCATGCTGACGACACAAAAATTTATAATACTTTTAATACAGTGAAGAATACGCCGCAAAAAGTACAGTTGCAAGGTGATCTTGACAGGCTGGTTGACTGGGCTGATAAGTGGCAGCTGCGTTTTAACGCTGATAAATGTAAAGTTATCCACCTTGGCATGAATAATGAACAAAAAGATTACAGTATGAGAAGACAAGGTTGCAACGACAGAGTGATGATGTCGCAGTCGACAATGGAAAAGGATTTAGGAGTTAATATCAACAATGAGTTGAAATTTTTAAAGCATATTGAAGGTCAGGTTAATATAGCCAATAAACGACTTGGACTGATCAGACGCTCTTTCGAGTTCCTAGATGCAGAAGCGATGAAGCAGTTGTTTGTTGCTGCCGTGCGCCCGAACGTAGAGTTTGGAAACGTGTAGTCACCGAAACTGGAAAAGGACAAAAATTTATTAGCGAGTGTTCAAAGACGCGCAACAAGGATAGTTCCGGGCTTGAAAGGCAAGTCCTATGAGTAAAGATTAAAGATTATAAAGCTTCCAAGCCTCAGTTATCGATGTCTGCGTGGGGACCTCATTGAAGCATACAAGTATACTCATGGCTTATACAAGGTCCCAGAAGGATTACTAGAATTTGAAACAAGAACTAACACCAGGGGCCACGGATATAAACTAAAAAAAAAACTCCCTTTGAGTCACCGACATGTGGAACAGCCTCCCTTATAGCATCGTTGACCCTCCGAGTCTGAACGCCTTCAAAAACAGACTAGACGAAGCTATGCAGGAGCATATGTTCAGTCATAAAATGCCTAGCAAATTACGGACCAGGCAGTAAGTCCAGCAGCTATCTCAATCAATCGTGAGTTATGGAAAGATCGGGTTCCAAAGGCCGGATCCCTTGTGAATCAAGTAACGAAAAATTCAAGAATCAGTAACAGGCCATGGGCCTATTTCTGCAACGCCGACACTTCTGTTCTATTCTATTGCAAATAAGCTCCAAATTCGTCGTGAAACTGTGTAGAAGGTGGTAAAAAAATTAAAGGAAACTGGTGAAACATGCAATCGACCTGGTCAAGGAAGAAAACGAAGTTTCCAAACAAAACAATTGGTCAAAAAGACAAGAGAGAAGTTGAGGAGAAACCCTCGTCGCTCAGCTGCAAAATTGGCTGCAGAAGCAGGAGTCAGTCAGCCATCAATGCGTAGAGTCCTCAAAGATGACCTCAAAACCTCCCCTTACAAGATGCATACAAGGCATGAACTAACAGACCGTCATGAACGAATGAGGTTCGAAAGATGCCAGCACATTCTTGATCTCATTTAGGATGATGACACACTGCCCGACTTGGTGTTCAGTGACGAGAAAAAAATTTGACATTGAACAAAGCGTTAACTGTCAAAATGACAGAGTTTGGAGTTGAGATGGATCCGTGGCAACCAGAACAACAACATGACGTCAAACTCCCATGTCCGTGATGGTTTGGGACGCGGTAACCGCCACTGGGAGGTCCCCACTCGTTTTTGTCCCTTCAGGAGTGAAATAGAACAGTCAGAGATACATTTCGGACATTTTGTAAGCTGTGTTGTTACTTTGGGCCCTTACACATTTCAACGGCTCACCATGGAGTTTCAACAAGACATGGCTCAAACATGACCCAAAACTGGATTCAGGGTCACATCCCAGCGTTCATTATCAAAAAGGAATGGCCCTCAAGAAGCCCTGATTTGAATCCTCCCGACTTTTCTGTGTGGGCTATTTTAGAGAGTAGGGCCTGCAGAACACCTCATGATTATTTGGATAGTTTGAAGTCTAAATTGACGCGAGAATGGGACTTGATCCCCCAAGAAATGCTGCATGTCTCCTGTGAAGCTTTCCCGCATAGATTGGAGGCCGTAATTAAAAATAAGGGTGGTCATATTGAATAAATATGTCTGAAAATTGTTTAGGTAATTCTTGGCTACTAGCTCATCCAATAAAAAACATGCGTTGCTATAAATATGGCGGACCCTGTACATAAGGCCATACAAAAGTACGGAATGAGAAAAGTAGTCTCAATCCGGAGATTGTATGAGCCCTCGACGTATTTTGACGACCGTCGGCCAAACAGAACTATTCTCCCAATAACAAAGTCGCTGCTGGGTTTGCAGTGGTTCGGACGGATGGGAATCTTGGTCTGGAGTGCGTGTTGGGGGACGGTGCTGTTGGCCGCTGCGAAGAGCTGACCGCCTGCATGAGGACGGGGGGCGTGGCGCGACACAACGGAGCCGTGACCTTATGCAAGACTTCCTCTGCTGCGGCCGTGCACGTCTGCTGCCGGAGGCCCGAGATCATCGCCATGCAAAGTGAGGATCTCTCACAGCAACGATAAATGATAAATTTGTCATCATCCCTATATAAATTCCTTCATCCTGATATTATTCATTCTGCAGTCATTGTCGAGGACGTTCCATGAGCTTGCTTCATAGAGCTCATGAACAAAAATGAGTTAGACATTTTATTATGACGAGGTCTCCACGAAACTAAAGCGTGTGTATTCTTAGTTAATCTTAGAATCGCGTGATTTGAACGCAGTTTATGGTTTTCAAAATAGTCTGAAAATGTACGAGTTCTTTACCATGTGAGTTTCATATTATAATCCATATTATTATATTATGAAAGCTTTGCATATGGATAAATGTTGAAATAACAAAATGTAATGTTTTTGAACTTTATTGGAATTTTCTTAGCTTTTAACTTCTTGGTTAACTTGCAATTCAAAACAACTTTTATAATTTATGTCAGTTTATTAGTGTAAGTAATAACATTCGCGTGCTGGCAGTGTGCTCAGCGTGGACGCAATACTGGAGTGCCGCCGCCTCGCAGGAATTCAACGTCTCGTGCATCACTTCACGGCCTCTCATATACGGGGGGCAGGAGACCTTGCTGGGGGAGTTCCCTCACATTGTGAGTCATGTAGAAAGTTGTGGTGTTAACTCATTTCATACTTACGAATATTTATGGACTGTTGGAACCGGAGTTTAGTGTTCATCGCGCATTTTTGTCGACTTTCAGATCCCCTCTTGTCGACTGTTGGGATCTGAGTGTTCTTCGCCATGTATATTTGGGATCTATTGTCGACTTCCAGGACCAGAGTGTAGTGTTCTTAATCGTGATATAGATGCGGAAAGATGATTGCTGAGGCTTCCAAGAAATTAATAAATATTTAAGAGAATCTGAAAAAATTGTCAGTTTTTGAATTGCTCTTCGTTTTTCGGTTCGCGAAATTGGCAATTGAGAAAATATGTCTAGTCTCTCTCTCCACGGAGTCTACATGTGAATTACCACGCAAAAACTCCAGTCCACAGGTATTTGTGAAAACTAAATATTTTTCGTAAAACCACAACAATTATGAACTGGGACTCTTAAGGGGAGCGTCTCGGTCAAAAATCGAGAATTTTGGTTTTTCCATTTTCTTAACTCATTTTGTAGCTGCTGAAAAGGCGCGTCTAACGCAGTACACCGCATGTATGTGCGTGCTATAGTTTTTGCGTAAAGCAATTTCAAAAATGTATAAAATGCACGTTTTTTTAACAATACGTTCAAAGATTTCTTAAATTAAACCTGTATTTATAGATCATTATTCATGTTGATTGCAAAGTGTTTGCACTAGTTTGAAAGCTACAAACGATGAGCGTTCAAGAAAGCAAATATCACGGATGTACATGCTATAATTTTTGCGTAATGCAGTTTTGAACTTATAAATTGGGCTACAATATCAAGCAATTTGTTGGACATCTTTTTAGCGCATTTTCTCATTTATGGAAAAAAATGCACTATTATGCTCGCCATGTCCTGTCCGTCCGTGACTTCACGTTTTCGTCTACGAGAAAATGCGCTCTCTGTCACTCACTGCAGTGAGTACTGAGTTATATTTTTTCAATTAACTTTACTTATTTGGCTCTCCTGAACAATCAAAATTTCCAAAATGCGTCATCTTGCAAATCTATCTCCTCCTGTGATTTTCGAGCTACAGCATTGAGAGATATACCATTCGATTCGCAAAGAAAAGATATAGAGAATGGTCGTAGCTTTTTTGTACTTTCGTTGCAGTTTGGATTATATTTTGCAAAAAGGGGGAGGGGGAAAACCGAAAAACGGACGAAAAATCCCCCCATTCACATAAATAAGAACTTCGAAAAAAGCTACGACGAATCGCTAGATATGGTCTTTGCGCATCGAATGAAATGTATTTCGTTGTTGTAGCTTGAAAATCCTAGGAGGAGATAGATTTCTACAGTACCTCTTTTTGCCGTATTCTATAAATTTCACGTTTTCTTTCATTTTTTTCGAAAATATTACATGAACAAAAAAGTCTTAGATTTCTATTTTACACATGTGCACCAAGTTTCAAGGTGATCCGTCCGTAAATAAAAAAGTTTTTTTTACCGAGTTGCTCCCCTTAAATGCGACATTGCACTACGGGCTGTATAGTAGTACATGTACCAGGATACAAGACACGGTTTCATCGGTCCGTTCTTAGCAGCTGAATCAGTGAGACGTACGGCTGGTGTGCTACAGGTGGCGGTGGGCTGGTGGATGGAGGAAAAACCGGTATGGAAGTGCGGTGGGTCGCTCATCACGCCCTTCTTCGTGCTCACTGCCGCTCACTGCATCGAGTGAGTGGCAGTTATTGCTGACGAGACCTCACTGCTGCATCGCTGACCCAGCATTGTGCTCTAAAGTGGACATAAACATGTGTTATTTGAATTTTAAAATTCAAATTTGATCGTTAAGAACCGGCATGCATTTATACTGTTCTAAACGCACGTTTTGCATGCGCTACCAACGATTCAAACAGTCTTATATCAGATTATTTCCTTCAATCGCTTGGAAGGGAACAAATCATGTAATAAAAAGTGTGCATGCAGTATAAAATAATGTCAAAACCTATCTCTAAGTCGGTGACTAGCTCTACTAACATTGACTTTATATTTGGATGCCATCGATAGTTCGATTTCATTGTTATTGCGAAAAATACAACACTAGAAAGAATTTATCTTTCGTTAATGTACGGAATTGATAGACTGGTATCAATTCTGTTTCAATAAACCCAAGTCACAATTAACCTACGGCCATAAAATTTATACGAGTTTACTCGGCAATCCTTAACTGACTGCTGCGTTCAGCCGCAACATCACGATGGTGGTGAGGCTGGGGGAGCACGACCGCTCAGCGCATGATAAGGGAGTGCTACCGAGCATCAATCTGGGACTGCCACCGGGGCTCGCGGGGGAAGAAATCATCAAAGAGCGATTCACTGAATCGGTGCCTATCGAACAAGAGATTAACGTGAGTCATCATTGCCTACCATTATAAATTCAAGGTCATTCTTTTCATTAATCAGGCTAATCTGTTATCTTGCTTAAAAATGTTGCTTAACTCTGTTATGTTGCCACGCCAATGTACGCGCCTGTGACGTGTATATCTTAGTGATATAAGCATGAACAGTTGAACACCCAATTTCAGGAACATCACGAGGCTCCATTGGGCAAAAGCCATCACCAATAATTGTTTTTAAGTATTAAGTGCTGTAAAGAAGAGACGCCTCGGAAGGTGAGCATTTGAATTTTGCGAAAGGCGACTATGATAAACTCAGTGAAGCAGTGAATGCAGCGAATATTTCGAATTGTATTAAGGACATGAATGTGTCTGAGTCATGGTCATTTCTCAAGGACACGGTTATGTCTGCAGTTGATGCGTGTGTATCTAATATTAAGCTTGGTGAAACCAAAAAACTCAGAGAATGAACAGTATAGTTCTAGCTAAGCTGTAAACCACGAAAGAAGCCTACCATGCAGCGTTATTTACAGACTCGTCCCGATGCTGATTATAACCTATACGCAATGGCTCGAAATCAAGCTAAAGAAAACTGGTTCCGCAGTAAAATCTTCGAAAAAATATTGCCCATAAATGCAAAAAAGAACCCGAAAGCCTTTTTTGCTACGCTAGCTCAAAGTGCCAAAGGACGGTATTTCTGATTTGAAAGTAGATCAACGAAAGATATCCTCTGATGAGGGCAAAGCTAACGTTCTTAATCAGTTTTTTAGTAGAGCTAGTATTCACTGAAGAGGACTTGAACAGTATTCCAGCTATTGAGGAGCGCCAGTCGGCTCTAAATAAACAAGTTTTGAAATACAAGAAGAAGAGGTTCTCAAGCGCCTGGTAGCTCGGAACCCCAAAAAGTCATATGGATCGGACGGCTTCCACCCCAGATTACTAAAGAGTTAGCAACCGTCGTAGCTGGCCCTTTGACGTAATTTTTTTGAAAAACTTTGAACGAAGGGATCTTACCGGCTGACTGGAAAGAAGCTCAAGTGACACCATTCAAAAAAGGTGACAAAAGCTGCCCGGGCCACTATCGCTCTGTCAGTTTGACATGTGTCGTTTGCAAGGTAATGGAATCTGTTGTGAGGGATCAATTGTTCGATCATTTAACTGTTGATAATCTCCTATCAGACTGTCGACATGGCTTTATTGCCGGTAGATCCTGCACCACTAACCTCTTGGCTACTCTGAATGAATGGACCCTACTGGACGAAAGGAAGCCAGTAGATGCAGTGTATCTTGATTTTGCCAAGTTATTTGACAGTGACCCACGTAAGCGGCTGTTGCTTAAATTCAAGTATTTGGGAATTGAGAGATGATGTACTCAGTTGGATAAGAGAATTTCTAGTAGGGAGACGACAACGTGTCAGTATTAATGGGTCCGTATCAGACTGGGCTTCAGTGCGCAGCGGCGTGCCACAAGGAAGCGTTCTCGGGCCTGTTTTATTCGTTGCGTTTATAATCGATCAACCAGAAGCAGTGTCTAGCGGGTGCTCGATGTATGCTGACGACACAAAAGTTTACAATACAGTGAAGAATACGTCCCGAAAATCACAGTTGTAAGGTGATCTTGACAGGCTAGTGGACTGGGCTGATAAGTGGCTGCTGCGTTTTAATGCTGACAGATGTAAAGTAATCCACCTTGGCAAGAACAATGAACAGCAAGATTGCAGTATGAGAAGACATGGTTGCGACGACAGAGTGATGATGTCGAAGTCGACAATGGAAAAAGACTTAGGAGTTAATGTCGATGAGTTGAAAATTTTTAAGCATATTGAAGATCACGTTAATAAAGCCAATAAACGACTTGGATTGATCAGACGCTCTTACGAGTACTTAGATGCAGAAGCGACGAAGCTCTTGTTTATCGCTGTCGTGCGTCCGAATCTAGAGTTTGGAAATGCCGTGTGGTCACCAAAACTAGAAAAGGACAGTACTTTAGTCGAGAGTGTTCAAAGACGGTCAACAAGGGTAATTCCGGGATTAAAAGGCAAGCCTTATGAAAAAAGATTAAAGATTATGAAGCTTCCATTAAGCTTCTGTTATTGATCTCTGGTGGTGACCTCTTTGAAGTATACAAGTATACCCACGGTTTATACAAGATCCCAGAATGAGTCCTAGAATTTGAAACGAGAACCAACACCAGGGGCTATGAACTAAAAAAACTGCGTTGTAACACATCCATGCGACAACATTTCTTCTCGCTTCGAGTCACCGACATGTGGAACAGCCTCCCTGATAGCATAGTTGACGCTCCGTGTATGAACGCCTTCAAGAACAGACTAGAACAGCATATGTTCAGTCTTGAAATGCCTTGCACCTTATGGACCAGGTAAGCAGCTATCTCAAACAATCGTCAGTTATGGAAAAACCGGGTTCAGAAGACTGGATCCCTCGTGGAATCTAGTCACGAAAAGTACAAGAATCGGCAACAGTCAAATTCTATTCTATTATGAACAACGAACATTTTATATTTGGTTTGCCGTTATGCGGTTTCGAGAGAATCCAACAATGTGTATCGAACGGCATTTTGATAGGGCGATACGAGTTATTTGTACATTTTACTTTTCTCAGTATGTAGCAGTATTTACTTCGGATTCGTTCAATGATCCTGGCTAAGCCACCAGTATCTTTGCCAATAATGTATATTGAAGTGCAATTAAATTATCTCGGGCAGGTGACGCAGATCTTCACCTATCCTGACTACCAGAAATGGTACCACGACATCGGGCTCCTCAAACTCGAACATCCCGTGAGTGATAACCCCAAGACTGATCATTATTTCAGCGTAATTTTTTATAGATTTTTCCACGTTTTTGTCTTCGTTTGTTTGACACCTGGAACCACAAATATATAGATAAAATTGTTTGAAGCGTTTCCACGATTAATATCGTGTCGGGATATTAAATGACCTGAAATTTAATTTTTTTAGATAATAATAAAGAAATTCAAAACTTGGTAGAATCCTGAGATTTGGGATGGAGTGGTTCTAAAAGTGCAGGGATCGTTGATCTCTCCAATTTCAATCTGCTGTAGTGGAGAAAATATCGTGATGAGCTCTTTCCTTTCGTTGCATGATGGATGAATGGACGTTCGATGTGCCTGTACAAGATTTCTGTGCTTCACAATAGCCATCCAGAACCAATGCATGGATGGATTCCAGCGTTCCTCGGGAACGGCAGAATTAATTAAATTTATTAGTTATCCAAAATTTTACATTCAAATTGCAATAGCGTTTTATTTGCTGACAACCTAGGTATACAATATTTATACATTAAGTCAAGTCGTCTTATGTTTCTGTACAAATATTAGTCGTTAGTTGGAATTCGATCAAAATCAAAAACATCTTTGTACTGTCATAACCCACGGTGGCCCACATCAAAATCGCGATCTTAAAATCACGTAGCATTTTTCGTTTGGCAATATCTTCATCTTAGTCATGTATCAGACATTAATATGCATATGTACATTTCATACATACATACATATATACATTGGTGTAGTTTGGCAGAAGATTTTCTTTAATGCAGGTTTCATTGAAGACCAGAGAGTATTTCTTATTGACAATTTTCTTATTGTTTTTCTCTATTCGGCGAATTAGGCTCTTGATAGGATCTGAAAAGTCAAATATCAGGTTTCCAAGGGACATTTTATTATAATTTTAATTTTACGACGTTTCGAATGCAACTTCATTCATTATCAAGTACAGAGGACGAGTTTTGCAACAAGTGAATTTGAAATTTTGAAATGACATTAGTACAAACATAGAGTATTATGGATACAGATTGGAATCTATTATGGAATTATGGAAAATTAAAATTATAATAAAATGTCCCTTGGAAACCTGATATTTGACTTTTCAGTTCCTATCAAGAGCCTAATTCGCCGAATAGAGAAAAACAATAAGAAAATTGTCAATAAGAAATACTCTCTGGTCTTCAATGAAACCTGCATTACATACATACATGCATACATATATGCAAGTTTGATTAAAGACCAGAGCACTATTTTATTAATAACCTTCTTGTTTTTATTTCAACGAGTCGAACAAAATTTCTTGCTGGCGCCGGGAGATCAAAAAGCATGTTACCAAATGACATGTTAATGGATTGCGACCTTTCGAAAATACAATTTTCACTATCAAGCAGGTGAAGGTTTTGCAACACTTGAAATTGAACTTATGAAATAACAGTAGTACAAATCAATGGTATTGTGGATATAATTTGAAATCAAATCGCTTTTTTCATTTCAGTTGATACAATTTGAAATCAAATCGCCCACTCACTGAAAAAACAAATGAGAAGATTGTTAATAAAAAGCATGCTCTGGTCTTTAATGAAACCTGCATAAAAGAGAAGCATCTGCCGAATTAAACATACATATGTATGTACAATTATTCTTTGAAAATTTGAGATTTTTTGCGGTGGGACTTTCTGGCTCGAAATTTTTCTATTTACTTTCTGGGACTTTCTGGCTCGAAGTATCCTATTTACTTCTATTATGTACTTATGTCCAACATAATTTCACTATTCAATGCTTCTCTCAACTTGAAAATAAATGTTGCTACATTCGAAACGTCGTTAAATAAATTATTATTATTTGCTAAATCTGCCTTTTGATCTACCAACCTCATCTAAAGAATTGTTCGACTTCTTGAAAATTATAATGCATTCTCTGGTCATTAATTGTACGCATTTATTCTTTTAAGCAGGTTTCATTGAAGACCAGAGAATTTGTCTTAATGAGAATTTTCTTATTATTTTTTTTAATAAATCGAACAATATTTCGTTTGCACTGGTAAATCGAAAATCAGGAGACCGATGGACATTATTATTTCTTTAACGTTTCAAATGTATCAATCATTCATTATCAAGCTACAAGACAATACGTGCTCTCATCCAACAAGCTCTCAAAACCTGCTCATCTGAAAATTGATTTAAATATGGAGTGGAGAAATTGCAAAAGAATCTTAAAAAAGAGCTCGAAAGCCTTCTTTTTGTACGCTAGCTCGAAGTGTAAGATAAAGGATGGTATTTCTGATTTGAAAGTAGATCAACGAAAGATATCCTCTGATGAGGGCAAGGCTAACGTTCTTAGTCAATAATGGGCTTGCCAATAGAACAAGCGACACGGAAATTTCAAAACTTAGATGGACTCAACAACGAACCAGAGACTAACGCTAACGTCACAACCATCTACTACGAGAATCAAATGACCAGCGGTTATAAAGCAGATGAACGGATCCTTCAATCCATCGTTCACAGAAACATCGTAAGCGTAACTAATAATAAAATTGAACTACTGATCTATTATAAAAACAAGAAAACGCAGAATCTTGTAATGAAAAATAGTCCCTGCAAAAATGGGAGTTTTTCCTGAGACCAATGTAGTCTATACACTTTCTGCAATAGAGAAGATTTTAGACTTCTCCCTAAAATGGACTACATCGGGCCCACAACCACGACATTAAGCCGACGTCTCACGTGCCACCTTCAGTCTGGTGGACCAAGGAACCACCTGATGGAGGCCCTCGACAAGACCATCACTCGTACGGTGCTGCACGAATGCACCAGCGTCGACATGCGAAGCCCCGACGCCAACCGACTCGCGATAGCTGAGGCCATCATTACTCTATGGATACTCCTCATTACTCCTGCAGCCGTCAACCTGCAAACTACCGGATTTGTCAGAACCTCGAGACTTTTTTAGAGTAATTTTATGCGATTTAATTCCTGATCATCTTCATATTTTTGTGATTTGGCAATTATTTCCGGCCAAATTCTGATTTTTGAGTAGTATCGTATTTACATGATTTTGTACTTGTGTCTATACAAATTTCATCACTCAATGCTTCTTGTAACTTGGAAAATGAATGATTGATACATTAGAAACGTTGTTAACGAAATAAAAATGTGATTCGGTATTCGGTTTTCGATTTACAAGCGCAAACGAAAAATAGTGTTTGATATATCGAAAAAACTAATGAGAAAATTCTCAATAAAACAAATTCTCTGGTCTTCAATGAAACCTGATAAAGAACAATTTCTGCCAACCTGTACTAATTTCCGTGCATTTATTCCTAGACAAACGTTACTCATCAGTCATTGCCAAAGACAAAAATTCACAATTTAATTTACAGAAGTTTACTACAATTACACTAACTCACACTACAGTCAGTTACGGCAGTATAAGTAAGTTACAATTATTTCAATTACATGTTGTCCTCGATATATTCTCAATGTATTTCACGTAAGATTATTTGCAGCGCATGTTGAGGCTCGTGAAGACTCCGCAATTAAGCAAAATTTCGTCTGATGATTTCAGGCGGGGCTGACGGCGCGCGTGTTGCCTGCTTGTCTCCCCATCTCGCCGGTGCAGCACTTTGAGCACACCTCCACCTTCGCCGTCGCCGGCTGGGGCAGCTCTGAGGGCAGGCAGATTAAGACAATTTTAGAACGCTCGTGGCTGCCTTGTTACTTCCAATTTAGTATCATTTAAATTTGATCAAGTTCAGTTAACATATTTGCAACAATAAATAATTTTTTACTTAATTCCCATATTTTTAGTTGACCTGCTGGGCTCAGTCGACCGTCTGCAGAAGGTTAAAATTGACTACATCGCACCCAACCGCTGCTGGCAACGTTTCAACGATCACCCAGCCCTCCGACCACCCTGGGGCGTAACCAAAGACATGATCTGCGCTGGTGCTGACGGCAAGGACTCCTGTACAGTGAGTAGTGTGCTGTCAACAAGGATTCGAGTGGAGTGAGTTGCGTGCTGTCAACAAGGACTCGTGGGGTGAGTTATGTGCTAACAAGAAGGACTAGTGTGGGGTGAGATGTGTGCTGACAACAAGGACTCGTGTGGGGTGAGTAGTGTGCTGATAATGAGGGCTCGTGGGAGGAAAGTTGTGAGCAGCTACATTTGGTTTCTAACTGTGGTTATGTTACATCTCAGGGCGACAGCGGCGGGCCTCTGATGCAGGAGGATTTCGATCTTCCTGGAGCTCCTCCCGGGACGTGCGTTCCGCGTGTGGTGACAGGGGTGGTTAGCTTCGGTCCCGCAGTGTGCGGACAGTTTGGTGTCTACACGCGGGTCGCAGCCTACCTCGACTGGATCACCTCAATCGTGGCACCTAATGCGTCTTATTCACAGCAGAATAGTGTATAGTCCACTTACTCGGTATTGATACCTGTTTGTCTGACCAACCGGATGTCTATTGCTCCAATGGAAAACAACTATGATCATTCATCCTCCATGACCAACAAAATTTTTGCATCTGCTGCCCAATGTTTTCACTTATGATTATATATAATTCATCAATATTTGCCTTTATGCAACTCTTCCCCTTTCACTGTAATTTCTCCTCACTTATGAGCCGTAGTAATAACTATTCTTCGGCAAGGACGTACATGCTTTGATTGTAGTCACGTGGAGGAAAATAAACGTTTGGAATTAGTCATGCGTTGAGAAGGATGCGTTTTGAATGAGGTCATGGCATTTCCTGTACTATACCTATTCTTCGATTGGAAGCACCGCTTACTCGGCGAGGACAGAGAGTCTCACTATAATAATGGAACTGAGATTTTTCTCCATTTCAAATAGTAGAAATATTGATTTACTTTAGATTTACGTTTCATTTGTTCTATGTCATAGCAGGAAGCAATTCCCAGGATGTTTCGCATTTCATATTGAACTTCTGATATGCATCATTTGAAGATGGTTACCTTGGTATGAAAAGTTGAAGTCGTTCCTCCGAAGTTTTAATACGGCTTCTGTACAAACTCCTCGCGCTTGAAGATATGAAAACTCACAAGCCACGGGAAGTGTTTAAGCTGGTATACTCTGGCAAATAAATAATTTAGATAATTAATTAAGGTAATTGTAAGAATTTTCGTTTTATGAAAAATACACAGAACTGCTTTTTAATTGCTTATTTCTCCTTTAAAGTTGTGTAATGTATATTTTGCCTTAAGATCGATTTTTGTGATGTTCCAGGTGTCTAAAAAAATCTACCATATATACGGTATGTAATTTACATCAACTTCAGTCAAATTACCTGGTACAGTTACTTTTTTGCATTTAATTAATCTAGCAACCAAACTGCAAATTATTACTAATATCAATATAAGTATTTCTTCCTACATAGCATGAGAATGGCTGGACATCAAGACTGATGTCTGTCCTAACTTCCATCTGAGCTATGGTAGCGAAGACACGTATGTATATTGTTGACTGAAGATCTAAATCAGTAGATTTTTACGTACGTATAAGCCGTCCTTGCAGGGGGATCTGTTCACAATCCATACTGTTATGTAAGGATAGTCGATTACGACTGACTGTCGCGCCTACCTTGGGTCACCAGGATCTGGTGGCAATATAGTCGCCTAATGGTAGGCGTTAAATCGTAAGGTCCAAGGAAACTTGATACTTCACTGAATAATTACTTCTTAAACCCACCGTAAATCCTTCACTTTCAGAATTTAATTAGAAATATTCCAAATAGAAATGAAATCAGGTATTAAATTTACTCTTCTAAAAAGTTCAAAGGACATGCATGGTTCACTATTCTGCTTCAAACAAGAATCAATTGTAAAAGAAATTGAAGATTTCACCACAACTCGAATCTAAGAAAAGTGAGCATTCCACAGCTTGGTTTAAAAATGAATTAGTTCAATAATTCTCGTCGCTTGAAAACCTAGACATGAAGACATGTAAGAAAAGTCTTAATAACAATAAACGTGAGCTGAAACATTCTCAATGCTCACATCAGCAGAATAAAGTGAAATCTAAGGCACAAAAAATAACGTGATAACTAGCAGCTTAGGCTAATTCAAATCATATGCTCTAAAAGCAAATCAGTTTCTTGAAATATTTACTAGTAATTTCGAGTGCTCTACTGGCCTCAGGTAAGTCAGGTTGGCTTGAGCAAGAAATTGGCCCGCTGTATCACATTTCGCCATGAAATTACACCCTGGTCAAACACTGATTACTCACGTTGCTCTAATCTAATGGCTCCGAAATGCGCTTAACTACTAAATATATTCTTTTATTTGATCGATACCTGCGCAAGTGCAGACGGTTGTCATACATTATAAATAAAAAATAGCAAAACAAGCAATTTGACAAATTCTGATATCTTTCAATTCTACAGTACTGAACATAGTGGAAGTCTATGAAGAGAGGTACTTATGTCGGTCCACCGCCGTGCGGCGGTCTGCGGTCTTAACCCCTTCGCAAGGCCCCATGCCCTTGGGCCTTGGCCCTTGGGCCCCTGTTGCAAGTTGCAATGGTCTAAATTCAACGGTTCGACTCCCATGGTCTCATCACAACTCCCTTTAGAAATACGTAAAGTTTTGAAATTGATATAAATATATCAATAAATATTTGAACTGGGAAATTCCTTAGTTACTTACGTTGGTTCCAGAATGATATCAATGACGTAAAAAATGACAATGACAATTATGACATCGGTTAAGAAGCTTCAGCCATGATCTCAGCTCTGCTCAGTCCTTCTACCTCGTAATTATGTTAGAACTTCGATGTTCAAATATTGACACTACTGGCAAGTGTCAATATCACAATCAAAATTATTTCACCATCGGAAATATGTTATAATATCACAATCGAAAATATTATTCACAAATAACCATCGATTTCAATCGAAAACTGTTCCCATCTGTCAGGCTTTGTTTACATATGCCTGCGGTGACGTCACACATAAGAACACGTGGTACACCAAGAACATCAACATAAAAAAATGCATTGTGTGGATTTTGATGCTGTTAGCATTGAAATACTTGACAGTATCTCTGATGCAAGAAATACTGGCTAAATACATTTTAATTTAGAAATTAACGTCAATCGAAAATTCGAAATTACTGCTGTTCAGGGCTATGTTGGTTCTTGCAAACCGATTGTTGCATCCAGTCGCTTATATTGAAAATAAAATGATTTAAGCAAGTATTTCTTGCATCAGAGATAATTCAAAGTTTGTTAATGTTAACAGCATTATAATCCATGCAGAAACGTACATTTTTTATAGATATTAAAAATTTAGGCTCTATGACTTGTATACTATGTCTATAGGATTTCAAATCGATGCATGCATTCAAATTCAAATTAGGCCCACCCACGCGGGCCACGCCTCACGGCCAGTGTAGCTGTCAGCTCACCTTTCTTCAGAAGTGTGAAAGCTTTTGCCGGTGAAGGTGTGTTTTACGATCGGTCCGTAAAGAAGCGTTGATCGGTTCAAAATGACATAAGACCAGGTTCTTTTGAATAACCTATAGAATTGCACCATGGTACTGAATAATTATTTCACTGAAATTCCAAAATGCACGCTATTCAGACTGGATCTATCTAACTAATACTGATTGATTTATAATGTGCTACACATTATTTGCTTGTTAGCACTGACCACTTGAATGATTCAATCAAGGAGATTCAAACTTCTCCTAGAGAAACATGAGTCAGTATGTTAAAAAAACGTGACATACGGTAGCTAAATTAAATAGAGAGTTAATTAAACCCTTATCGGTTAAATAAGCCATTTTAAAAATTACAGTTCCATCAATTTGCTTCTGGATCTCAGATAACTAATTCCACACTTGACTGTGGCAGGCCCAGACAAGCTTTAGATTCACGTTTGCAAATGGCTGTCACAGTCACCCACAAGATTTCTAATTTAACACGACAAATGTTAGCTAATCTCACAAAAATAAATGTTATCGCTCCTACTGGATGTCAACTACAAGGATTTTAAGTAAAATTGTATGATTTAACACTAATGGCACCATATAATCACGAAATATGGGGCGAGAACTGCTGGAGCGTGTTACGAATACACAGGACGCGTCCAGTTTAAAATCAGAGCGTCGATTCTGTTTCCAACATCCCGGGAAATCCTCTGAGTTGACGAAAAGTTTTCCTTTTTCGTACCCTTCGCGTTAATATTTAATTTATAAACGCGACAGTGACTGCTTATTTTTACAGGCCTTTTCGTGTGTGAAATATTTCATATGTGTAAACCTGTAGTCCATTCTTTACTATTTTCAAAGTAAAATAAAACATGATCATTAGATACTTACTTTAATGACAACACGATCCGTACATAATGAAGCCTAGATTCTCGTTGCATGGAAACGGTGTGCGCAATACCCACGATGCCGGAGTAAGATAAATTACACGTTACGATCTAACCAAATGCACCAAGCTGTAACGTACATGAATGCGTGGTTATCTGTTATTCACATTAATACGTAAGCAATCATTATGACGTATTCATTGGTGCAATTAATGGGCAACAGACACAGGTATTCACCGTACACAGACCGCCAAGAATTATTACAGGCATGCAAAATAATTATGATCCAATATTGTAAAATTTTCTACCCAGAAAGCTAAAATTTCCCCTAGTGTGGCGATTCGAGCGTACATGAAGAATGAATTCATAGCGCCATGAATAAACAGATTACATTTCCAATGCAATTGGACGCTGTGGGTTCTGATAAATGACGTTGTTAAATAACTAATATTATAATAGCTACAGAACATCGACATATATTTACAATTCATCAGTGTACTGATGAGTAGAGTCATTACTCTGTTATCTGTTTTTAGTAATAAAAAGATGAAATTATCGTGCACAGCGACACGAGACTTTCAATTGAAGGGATTGAACGGGTCGCGAGGAGGAGTGTAGTTGTATCCACGTGTGGGGGCTAGCACCCGACCACATTTGAATAAGTTTCGAGTTTGACTCTGTTTCAGGATTTTCAAGGCCAGGGTTACAAGAGTTGTGCTAACAGGAACAGGTTAAAATTAACTGGGCGGCCAGATGAGATTGGTTGGTTAATGACAACAAATAAGAGATTGCCAGTTCATTGTTAGCTCACGTGACCTGCTCGATGATGGTGGCCACGGAACGAACTGGGAGGCCTGCAGGGCCGTATTATCAAAACTTCGTAACTTTTTGTACTTACAAAAAAAAGTTACGTGTTACGTAAGTACACCCTAATATTGGCATTATCAAAACTTTCGAACGCAAGTCTTAGCTAAAAGCGTATTATCAAAACCATCTGGCTAACTAGCCAATCCTGAGAGGCTTTGGATTTGCTCTTCCTATAGCTCCAGTAAGCTCCTCACCGTCCTCACGACCAGTCAGTGCGCAGTGCGCTGGGATGAAAGTAGGATGTGCGATGTCAGCGGCATTTGCGGTGCCTGACTAGGGTGTATTTGGATAAATGAGTGAGACGTTATCCAAATAGTAATGCACTTGTTGTTGTGATCATCAAACGAAATTTCTTGCAATAAGGGCAAATAAATGCATTATTCCCATTCAAAATTAGAAGGTTACAAAGAATTTAGAAAATTTCGTGAGTTTGAGTTGCGACTGTCAGAAAAAGAAATAAATTTGTTTACAGAGAACTAGAAAAATGGTTGGCTTGTCAACCTCAATATAATTTTGAATAAAAAATGCATGAAGATATTGTTCAAGTGAATGATCATAAAATTCTATGACATGAATATCTACATTTGCTTGCAAATTATAGCACAAAAGGCAATTGACATTTTTATCCCAAAAGCATCGTTTAGCACGATCAGATATTATATGTCGGATTATTGACTAAATTCTGTCACAATTCACCGTGTTGCTACTTGCTAATAAATCAATAGTTTCAGCACACACTCTAAACTTGTGCGGAACTCCACTTACGACATCTCCGGGGCCGTATTATCAAAACTTCGTAAGTACGCAAAATCGACTTACGAGTGGCGTAAGTGCTGACTTGATGACGTAACTCTAGAGGTGGTATTATCAAAACATTTGCGCGGGAAGATACGTAACGTAACTGTACGCCTGCTCGGAGATGTCGTAGGTGGAGTTCCGCACAAGTTTAAGAGTGTCTGCTGAAGCGATA